TTCAGATTGATAGAGTATACCTAACTAAATAGTACTTGTATGGGTCTTGTGACAGGAGAATGTTTTGTTATTTTTTTACAATTTTATAAATTTCATGTTTTAAGTTACTAAGTTATTCTGTAACTTTTGTTTTTTGCTTTAATTTTACTTAAAATAAGTACTTAATACATTAGTAAGACATGTGTGCTTCCCTTGAAGTCATCTAATTGAATCAATTTTACTTTACAAACATTTTTACATGCTTATTACTGAAGAATAAATGTAGCCATAATTACACGTGGGTGGTTTAGATAAGTGACCGGAAGTAACCCGGATTGCTTTATCCGGTTTGGAATGTTTCAAGCCTATGGCTAATCATCACGTGACTGTAACTGGCGGTGGCAAGTTTTGTGCAAAGGTCTGTATATATAATCTATGGTCTAACTTAGTGATGTCAATTAGCTCCTCCCTTATCTACTTAAACGAGAAGGTGCGGTATAAAACGCGGGGCCCTGGGCATGGTGGCTTCCGGTTTATTCACGTGTAAAAATGTCGGCTCTAGATGGTGTTGCTTCTTCAAGGAAAAACGCAGAAAGAAAGGGGTTTTGGTACCAAATGGACTTCTATTTTACTCTCAAGGAAGACAAGGACCAGTTCTAGTTAGGCTTGATCGAGTTAAGGGGTCTTTAGGCACTGAAAGAAGGCGTATGTAGTATCTATGCTGGAACTGCTCATGTCTCATACTCGCCGATTTAGTTTAAAAAGAGAATCATTCTGAGGCTCTATCACATGATACTAGTAGTTCTTCTGCTATGCTCAATACTTCAGGTAGTTATAGTGTGTTTAAATTAGTGATTATATATAAATAAGGTATGGGTGATGGGGACGAAGAGCAGCCATTTTGTGCATAGATATAGGATCGGCTATTGGGAAACATACATTAGTGTTAGTGTGGTATGGTTGACCGAAGGATGATCAGTTACAGACAGGTATTCTTTGTTAGTATTATTATTATTATTATTATTATTATTATTATCAACATCATCAAAACTATTCATAATTTTAGATCGTCATGTGATTTGTGCTGAATTTCGATTCAATGCCGGTTGTGAGTCCTGTAATCGTAACTCAAGTTTATTAGGCACTAGATACAGAAGTAAGTATTATTTGTAATGTAAAGTAATCATATGGTGGCATTAATATTTTTAGGCTCGTACTAGCATTTTTCTTGTGTTGGTATATTACCATCACAGTACTGCCATATTTTTGTCGGCATCACTGGGCACAGTTGGGAAGAGGTACACAGATATAGGAGGCTCCTCACCATCCCAATATCTATTCAACCCTATAATGTTTATATTTTTAAAAATTTAGAATAGTATTTTTGTATTTACTTCTTCCAGTAGATCGT